TTGCCTTGTTCCTTTTTCAATTTTAATTGAGTCTGTCAGACCCCTGTTAACAATCACTTGGGCAAACTGTAGTTGGTAAATGGCCTTTAATGCTGAAGAAAATCTATGTCCAAAGTTCATTCTGTCCACCAACCGTAGCAAAAATTGCCAGTCCAATTTATCAAAAGCCTTTTCAGCATCCAGAAAGATAAGGGCCGCCAGGATTTGATTATTTTTGTCCAAATATTCCAACACATTCACAATTTGTCTAACATTATTCTTCATAAATCTTCCATTTATAAATCCAGACTGGTCCGTATGAATAATCTGTTTAATTACTTGCATTAGTCTATTGGCTAATATTTTTGCAAAAATCTTATAATCCGTATTCAATAATGATATTGGTCTGTAATTTTTAGGCTGGGTCATATCTTGATCCTCCTTAGGTATAAGTGAAATAAATGCACATCTCCAAGATGGTGGTATTTGTCCCCCCATTAAAACATCATTAAATAGACATCTCAAGGGTTCCAACATTTCTTCCAATAATTTTTTATAATAAATTGCAGTGAACCCATCTGTTCCAGGGGCCTTACCAACCTTCAGTTGTTTAAATGCCTCTGCAATCTCTTCCACCGTGACCATACCATTCATCAGTCCTCTTTGATCCTAAGAAAGACAAGGCAAATTTGCTTGTTGTAAATAATTGTCTATTTCATTTAATTGTATATTCTCAGAGGCATATAATTTAGTAAAATACTCTGTAAAGGCCCTTTTGATCAAGTCTTGTTGAAAAACTTCTTTACCCTTATAGTTTATTTTCTCAATAAGTCTTTGTTTTTGTTTCTTACGTAATTGATACGCTAACCATCTTCCAGGTTTATTTGCATTGCAAAATGTATTTTGTTTCATATATTTCAGATTAATAGCAATTTGGTCAGAGAGCAACATATTATACTGTTCTTTCAGCATTACAATAGATGCCTTTAAACTCTTGTCCATTGGATTTAGGGAGAAAGCTTTTTCTTTTATTTTTATCTCTTGCTCAATGTCTTTATAGTTTTGCTGCTGTTTTCGCTTATAAGCAGAATTCATTGAAATTAAGGCACTGTGGTTTTTATACTGTTAAATGTAGCATTGCACCATTGGCTATGAAAACTGGTCCCAATCAAAATGCTCTGTGGAAAAGAACACCTTGGTGGGAAAGAACATGATAAATTCTAAATGTGGATAACAAACCATGATTTCATGTTCATATATAAATATTATGCCCAGACAACCCCTCCAAAAAAACCCCAACATAATAGTTCAATCCGAAGACCTGGTTTGTTCAGCATGCTAGGACACTGGCTTTGTTTCAAAAAAGATCCTGAATCACAAAAAAATTTAGTTTAATACATTAGACCATGGGTGTCAAACTCGCCACGTCACGTGATGTGTCGCAACTCTTTTTGCATTGCCAGCAATGGGGTGGGCACGGCTTCGGTATGATGAAACTGGCCTTTGGGCAGCAGTTTGACACCCCTACATTAGACAAATCAAGTTTAGTTCTTGCAACAAACTGAAGTATGAATGGAGTTAGGTTACCCCTGGAAAACTTAAATCCAGTCAGCTATGTAGTTAAAAAGGTAAAAACAATCCCTAGTTTGTTTTATTAAAGTGCTCTTTGCAGTTAGATTCATTATGTGAATACTATCACTCAGTCAAAAGTAAGACAATTGCAAATGATTTTAAACATGAAAAATAGGGACAATAAAATCAACACGAAAGAAAAGAAGAGTAGAGGTGGCATAATAACAAACCATGTGGAAGCAAAAGAAAACAATCCAAGTTAAAAGGAAATTTCATTCATCCTTACTAAAGGCCTGGATGAAGAGCCAGGCTTTCAGGCCCCTTTGAAACACCAGCAGGGTGGGATCTTGGGAGAATTCATTCCAGAGGGCAGGCTCTGCAACAGAGAAAGGTGCTTCTGGGTACTATTAGATGGCATTGCCTAATTGAAGGGACTCAGAGCAAATCAACCCTGCCAGATCGGATTGGCTGAGACAGCCAGTCCTTCAATTAATTGGGCCTTATGCAATGAAGGTCTTTGTAGGTACTGTAATAGCCAGCATCTTGAATTGCACCAGAAGCAAATAGGCAACCAGTGCAGCTTGCAAAGCAGAGGTGTTACATGGGTATACTGCAGCAGGCCCATCAGTGCTCATGTTGCTGCATTCTGGACCAATTGAAGCTTCCATATGATCTTCAAGAGCAGCCACCTATGGCTGGCAGGCAAAACTTGCACACCAGATGAAGCTGTGCAAGGGCTTTCCTGACCACAGTTCTTATCTGAACTGGAACTATGAGTCCAGGAACATCACCAAATTACACACCACCTTTGAATGAAAAAGTGCCATCTCATCCAATGTTAAAGTTGGAACATCCCCAGAACTGGATGGTCTAAACAACCACAGCCATTTGGTCATGATAGAATTGAGTCAGAAACGGTTTCTCTTGATCCAAACCTGTACAGGCATTGAGACAGAATTTGACAACCTTTCTGGGCTGGGCTAGAATTGAAAGATATATTGATGATGCCAAACCACAAACTGATGGATGACCCAGCAATTTCAAATAGATGTTGAAAAGTGGAGAATAGAGAGTACTGTCCTGCAGCACCTCACATGTGAGTGCCTAGGAAACGATCTTTCTCCCTCAACAAACACTGTTGCCAGTTTTATTTCCTTTTCCTAATCTTTTTCCTTCTTTTCCTGACTTTTCCTGAGCACTGTTGGTTGGCTGATTAGTGGAGAAGAGTCTGGTGATACAAGATCCCTCTACCAGGATTTCCCTAGTGTAACATCTCTTAGGATACCAGACATGATTCCCGGAGAAATGGAGCTGGGGGAAGTGACTCAGTATTTTCAAAATGGCAACTTTTGACCAAGTTAGCATTAGATAGAT